GTCGCAGATAAGGGAAGTCTGACTCTCATTCCGAAGCATGACAAAGTTGTGCCGGTCAGCTGACAAACTCCCAGACCTCGGTCTGTGGTGCTTGGCACTAGCCTAAACACGTCACATGATGGTGGGAAATACAATGCATTACCACGCTGTAGTGGACTTCACTATCACCGCTGCTCTTTATGCCATTTGCAGCGCCCCAGTGGCTTGACTGAGTCCGCTGGCTGACAGGTGACGAAAATAAGCGCACTGGTTGACGCATCGTGTCCTCCCGTCTACCGCGCGCAGGGACTCGACGCATTCAACTAACGCGTGACATGATCCGCTATGGTTCCAACCCGCTCAGACATATTTGTCTACGTGTACTAACAAGTTAGAAAGTATAACGGCAGTTCCAGGGATGACCTGCCCACACTGTTCGCTGGGAACAGCAAGTATTATATTAATGATGGAGCACGCACCTGTGCACGCGTATGTAATCGAGGTTTGTTTCCTTATCCCCCTACAGATCCTAGTTGCCAACAATGGAATCGCCGCCGTGAAGTGTATGCGTTCCATTCGAAGTTGGGCTTACGCCACCTTTCGAAACGCCGAGGCCTTCTTCTTCGTCTGTATGGCCTCACCGGAGGACATCCAAGCGAATGCAGAGTACATAAAAATGGCCAACAAGATGGTCATGGTTCCAGGTGGTTCCAACCTCAATAACTACGCCAATGTGGAGCTCATCTTCCAGACAGCCGTTGCTAATCACGTTGACGTATGTATTGACTTCTCTTCTTTTGTCGGCTACGATGCTTGTAGTAATTCACTTTCACTACATTTTTGAGCAGTAATCCGTTCTTCGCTTGACGTTTCGGATTCTCACTTGAATCCATCATCAGAGACAGTAACAGATCAACTAGTTCCTAGAACTCGCATCTTCGCTTGTATCAGTAATCCGTTCTGTTCGACACAGTGCCATAGTCCACCGCACCACTGGAGCATACAACAGAAAAACATATGCGC